GATTTGTAGTATATGGTTTGTATTGCATATGCAATACAGTATATGATTTGTGTTACATCTGCACCATATACATAATCAACATTCTTTAAAAGCATTCAGTTTAAAATAGAGTTGGGATTACCTGCAGTCCATGGACTCCTCTTCTGATGTAGCCCTTCCTGTTGGGATTCAAACTCTGCATTGTCTGTATAGCCTTTAAGTTGGTGTTTTCACAGCCTCCAGCAGGTGTTACTGGTGTGTTAGCTGCTGTTGGCTGTTGAAATGGATGGGACTGTTCAGATAGTGAACAAATGAACTAATTTTATAGATAGCAAGAAGATGCATGTTCTTCCTCAGGAGACTGATAGGCCCAAATAAAGTGGTCTGATTTCTCATGTGTTATCCCTGCTTTTCCCCTTTGGCCAGATCTTGAAATTTAATTGAGAAAGTTGAGGAAAAGCTTTTCTGATATCACTCTCTAGACTGCATTCAGTTCCAGCATTACCACTCAAATTGGTGGTCCGTGGACTAGTTCCAGTCTGTGGAAACTTTCCAGGAAAGAATGAAATGGCAGTAGCAAAATGAGGACCAATATGGTACTGGTCCCTGACACATTAGAATAAAAGATCAGCTGGCCCCCATATCAGCCTGAGGAAAATTGAGCTAGAAGATTTTACAAAATAGCCCGGTTATCCTGCCATGTTGAGCCGAAGGGCACCAGTAGGAACTGGCCTCCATGCTGAATGCAAACAGATCAGTTGGAAACTGATCCACATTGCAGAAATAATCCAGTTTGACATCACTTTAACAGTGACTGCGCATGGAACAGTTTACCCTACTCAGTCATCTCTCATTTGATGTGGGAGGGTGAAAAAATGTTCACAACATTTATGCATTCCCTTATCACAGACTTTAAACCAACAAGATTTTACCATATGCATGTTGAACATGACTATCAGTGCTTCTCTGAACTATACGTTTGTTAAACTGTGTTTAAAATGTGTAGATGAGAGTCTTTGGACTTTCATGTGATTGAATCCTGTTCCTATAAATATATTCTTGGTAGAGGGAAATATCAGAATCTCTAGTAAATGTATTTGTGAAGTTGGGAGATTTTTCTGCAAATTACAGGGGCTGCTCCTTTTATGCTGAGTACATCAATAACTGCAGGCTCAAACAAATCCAAGATCATAAGACCAGCAACAACTTCTCTTGACTTAGCCTATATGCCTGATGGTTGCCAATAGTTGAGACTGGTGTCCATAATAAATTCCTATGTAAATATACATTGTCTGTAGATTTTCACTGGAAAACATAATGGTTAAGAAGTAAATTGCAGATTACTTTTCCTACAGTAGAAAAACCCATCCTTGATTCTCGATAATGTGCCTGAAATTACCTTTCCAGACCTTCTTACTCCCTTCAACAATATGGAATTAGTGCTGTTTGTAGTTATATTTGAATTATACTACACTTCTGGTTGTAACTGCCCAGGCTTTCTAATGTAATGCTTTTTATAAACATTCTAGTAGCCTAGAACTTTAGGATTTAGGTAAAGTGTAGGATACAACTTTATCTGAATAGTTTGTGACAACTAAAACATTAAAAAAAAAGTAGAAGATTGGTACGGAATAGCACCATTCCTGAGCTTTGGTTGGAAAGTAGAAGTTCTTAAGATTCCATGTAAGTTCCGAGTCATCATGATTATAGAATACTTTAAAAACTTATATTTCAGAAACATTTCTGAATAATTAACTATAACTTTTCAAACAGAAATCCACCAAACTATGACTTTTGTAAGACTATATGGTTCATGGTTTGCAGAGATGAGCACTTCTAGGGTAGATGTCCTGCACCTGCTTGGGAGATGCAGTGAACGAGTCTTGCTACTTCAGGATCTCTGGAATTGTTCTCTGCCATACAACCTGTCATCTTTTGGGCTGTGTATTTACTTCTGTGCGTGTTGTCCTCTAAATGAGTATATAGTTTAGACTTGCATAGCATTTTAACCTCTATATGTTGTAGTGAGGTAACAGCTGCTTGTCTTGAGGCAGCTGAAATTCCATATGTAAACTCTGGTTTGGAGGTAGTGCACTAGAAATAAGCAGGAATGTTCCAGCTCTAAGCCCATTTGCTAGTACACTTTGGAGAGAGAGAGATGTAAGGTCCCTAGACTAAATCTGATTTTTCCTGGGATAAAAGTTCAAACCAATTAAGATTATTTGATAATGTTCTCTGTCATTTGCCTTTTCAACTTCGGTACTGTTGTATAAATGATGTTAAGTGTTTCATTGTGACCAAACAGTTCTTTGTAAATTGGATTAAATGTGTAAAGCTTACAAACCTGTCATTACAACACAGTATTGTGGAATTCTTAATGCTGGCTTCTCTTGTCTAATGCCAGCTTTGTTTGTCGTATCTTTTTTCTTTCTTTTCCCCCCCTGAAAAGTGCCATATATTACTTGAATGCTGTGTCACTCAAATACACTAAATGTTGAAGCAGAATTGGCTGACTTGTATGTCTTCTTTGCAGCTTGTACTTCCGGAGTACCTTATCCATGCATTCTTCTGTGTTATGTTTCTGTGTGCAACAGAGTGGCTCACGCTGGGACTCAATATGCCATTATTGGCTTACCACATTTGGAGGTACTGCTGGGAATGGTTTGCTGTTGGTTTACTTGAGAAAAATTTCTTACTGGATCTTTTAAGTGAACTATTCTAGGGACTTTCTTGGGGAATTAAGCATTTAAATAAATTGGATTAAAAATTCTGGATATGTTTTTTAAAAAACAACAACACATACACAATTAAAAACAAAACAAAACCCAAACACGGTTTTCTAAGAATGAAGAGTGCTGTTGCTGTGGCTATTCAGTGCATGCATATGCATGTGAAAGTAAAATTGATTTCTTGGAGTTTGAATTAAAGGAAAGCAAATTTCCATCTCTTATTTATCAGAGAGGAAGGAGTTTTTCGCACAGCTAAAAAACCTGGCTTACCTTCCCTGGTTTGAATCCTCTTCCGGGATGCAGCTGGGCATTATCACACCATAGTTGCTGCCAATTCTGCTTTTAAAAGTTGGAAAGCTCCTGGCTTGGAAAAATGGCCGCTGAAGTGCACCTGGGACCCGGGATGCAGTCGGGCAGTGACTATTGGTATAATACCTTGCTGCATCCAGGAAGAGGATACAAACTGGGAAAGGTAAGCCAGGTTTTTTAGCTGTGTGAAAAACTCTTACATCAGGAAATGACACAGATTTCAATCTAAATTAGGACTAAGGTATCATGTACACTTCTCTGTTCTTTTGGCAGAGTAAAGTTTCACTTTCAGTTTTCATTGCACTTGACTGAGCTCTTAATTCAAATCCATATGTCTGCCCTCATGTCTTCCACTGGGCTTTCCTTTAGAAATGTATGGACACAGAAGGTACTCCTAGGGTCTTGTCTAACCTCCTGCCTCTTCAGGAAATCTGTAGCTAAAGCATCACTAATAGATGGTCATTCAACTTCTGTTTAAAAACCCTCAACAAAAGCAACCCAAGCATCCAAGGCAGTCTGTAGCGTTGTTGAAATAGCTCTCTTTTTTTGGTAACTTGAATCCATTGGTTTGGGTCCACCCTTCTGGAGCAGCAGAAAGCAATCTGATTCATCTTTTGTGGTGACCAAGATAAAAAAGGATCTGGGAACTGTTCTGTGAGGAATGGTTGAGGAAGTTGGATATGTTTAGCTTGGAGAAGATTGAGAGGTGATAAGATCAGAAAACTGGGCTGTCACCCAGAAGATGAATCAAGTTTGTTTTCTGCTGCTCCAGAAAGTTGGACCCAAACCACACCAGAGGAGGGTGCCAAACTGTAGAAGGTCTGATTTGGGCCCAAAGCTGTTAACATTGTAAAAAATGAATACGTTATAAACAAGATGTACGTTTTTGTTCATAAACAGATACTGGCAATGATGTAAGAAGGGGGGGCAGGCATTCAGTACCTTCAAGCTGGTTGCTAACTTTCAAGTGTGTGGCATTTCTTCGTGTGGGGATGTATTATAGTGGGTCTCACAAGATGGTTTAATTAGTAGGCATGTTAATTAGGCATGTGGGACATGGTGGTTCAGTAGTTAAGATGCTGACTCTGATGGTTGCAAGATCGGCAGGCTAGACCGAAGCACCATGTGACAGTGAGCTCCCGTCACTAGTCCTTGCTTCTGCCAACTTAGCAGTTCAAAAGCATGTAAAAATGCAAATAAATAAATAGGTACCACTTTGGTGGGAAGGTAAAAGCATTCTGTGCAGTCATGCTGGCTACATGATCACAGAGTTGCCTTTGACAACGCTGGCTTTTTGGTTTAGTAACTGGGATGATAACTGCCCTCTACAGTCGGACACGACTTGACAACCTTGTCAAAGGGGAAAACTTTACCTTTAGTTAGGCATATGCTTTACTAAGTTTGTGCAATTTACCTTTGGCTGAGACTTTGCTCAGTTCATGCATTTTGTAGCTTGGAAACCTTGGAAGGTGGTAGGGGCAAAATTCTCAATTACATGAATGCAGATATATATTTTCTCATTGCTGATTAAAGAAATTTTATATAATAGCACTATTTGTGTCTATTTGTGTCTGGATATATATATATATATAGAGAGAGAGAGAGAGAGAGAGAGAGAGAGAATAAATTTTCGAATAGAAAGTATATGTTTGTATTTCTTACATGTGCATTTCCTTTAAAAAAAACCAACCTAATTTCTTGTAGCTTTTAAAAATGCAAATTCTTTCCCCCTGTCCCCAGGTATATGAGTAGGCCTGTGATGAGTGGACCAGGACTCTATGACCCAACAACCATAATGAATGCAGACATTTTAGCATATTGCCAGAAGGAGGGATGGTGCAAACTAGCGTTTTACCTGCTGTCCTTTTTTTACTACCTATATGGGTAAGTCATCAATTTTATCTTTTTTTTTTTTTTAATTATGGAAGTTATAATACCACTTTCTGGGCATTCAAAAATGTAAGTGTGTGTGTATATGTATATGTGTGTGGTGTAGTGGTTCGAATGTTGGACTATGTTTCTGGAGGCCAGGGTTCAAATCCCCACTCAGCATTGGAACCCCACTGAGAGACCTTGGGCAAGTCATACTCTCTCAGTGTCAGAGGATGGCAATGGCAGACCCCTCTGAAGAAACTTGCCAAGGAAATGTTGTGATAGGTTTGCCTTAGCAATAGCAGCTTCATTTATATACCACTTCATACCACACTGAGTAGTCTCTAAGCCAGCGGTTCTCAACCTGTGGGT